CACTATCCGCCACCTGTGGACGCGCCAGGTAGCCAGCAGCTATGCTAACGGGACCAGACGCATTAGGGTTCTTGTCCACTATTTACACAGCATTTCACATCCACACCAAGTTTATGTAAGCCGGACCTCTTCCTCTTGCGCTGTCATCGCGCCGTCGCCAATAACGGGGGACGTTGACGTGTGTCGGGTAAACCTTAATCGTTCTTATTTTATAACTCAAGTGCGGTAAGTAGAGGGCACTATATTCTTAAAATATGTGCATGTTTAAACTCCCGTTATCAATTGCAACACCAGAAGTCGGCCCGTTGTAGTAAACATTATCTCGAGTTTAAATGTAACGCGTGTTTTTCACACTGAGTGTTTTCACTACTGATTACAGGGATGCTTGTTACGAAACCCCAACTCCGTCCGGTTGACCAGAAAACTCATTGTAATTACGAAGTTAGGTATCCACACTCCATGCTTGACAAGGTTGCTCACTAAGCCTTGTCCTACTCTCTGGATTGACTTTATCGCCTCGAGAATAACCAACAAGGATGCGGTCACTAGGCTCGCTTTATGTTGCTCTTAGCTTTCCAATATATGCATCCATGTCTTCAAAATTCGGTCGTACAACAAAGCTATTTCAATGGCCATATCTTCCTGTTCGGTCACCGTATCTGTTGCTGCTGTTATCTAACGATGGATCCTACACGAGTTCTTAAGCTCGGAAAAATATAGCAGTTACAATGTTCGACCAGTTTTCTTCCTGACTCATACATCTGCAATTTGAATATTCTCCTTCATTGACCTTTACCTTGCCCAACCGCGAGAGTAGTTCCGAAGTATTCATTCATTTGTTGATTACTCGGATGCTATCTTATTCGACCCTGGGAATCGTTGCCAAAGGAGAGACCTTGACTGCAGAGACACCGCTTTATTAGTATCAGACAACGAATATAACCAAGTAGCGAAATCAATTAGTCTTCCCATAGCACTATAAAAAAGCATCATCAACTTTTTCTGGCCAAAAGTACCCTGTCGGCTGTTGTAGTGAAGACTTAGACAGCTTCAGAAATTTCAGTAGGTTGCCTACCGATCAGCCGGAAATAGACATACAAATCGACACTGCCTACAGGACCCCAGGTGCCTGGGCAACCGTGCGAATATCTCGACTATCATGGGTCTATATTTACCAGACAACCATTAGTTTACCATCTACGGCTTTTAATGCTCAGAGCACATCAATGCTTGCCCTCTTTGTTTCCTAAGGTTTAAACTACTAGGGCTAGGATACTACTGTTAGAAGTGCTGGGCCTGTGCTAGAAGTTCTAGTAATCAGTAAGTAGTAAGGTGAGTTACAATGTAACCTGTACGTGCATCTAGGGGATTTTAGTAAGCTTGAGGGTTAGGAAAACGTGTATTTAGTAATAGCTGAAGATCCAGCATGCATTTAAGTCGTAACAGAGTGGCATTTACCATTTTTTTCCAGGATACTAGTAGAAGTGCTGTGCCTACGCTAGAAGTGCTAGTTCTAGTAGGCATACTTACTAAAGCCCGTAAGTGGCAAGCAACAGTGCGGCCTGTACATGCATGTAGGAAATTCTACTTAGTATGCAGTCGTAACCCATATGAGGACTTTAGTAAACTGAAGGATTAAGGAAACGTGTATTTAATAATAGCTGAAGATCTACTACGTACTTAGGTCGCAACAAAGAGACATTTACCTTTTCTACAGTACCTAGCTGTAGCTCAGATTTTACAGACCATGATCTTTCTAAATAGGTGCGCTACAAGTACGGTACTAGAGGACAATACTATGGCAGTACAGAACAACAGGAGTAGTGCAATAGTAGTGTTGCTGGTGATACTATCGATTTTAGTTCGTATAGTTCATAGGCAACTGTTACCGTATTTGATCTAACGAGCACATAACTATACACGTTGGGAGTCAACCTTAGATAGGGATGACAGTGGGGATGACCTGACTAATGCCTATCAGTATTCTGCGACTTAACTTAGTGCCGAGAAATCCCGGTTACCTGACATGGCATCTAGGGGTTTGTCTGTCCGAGCCATAGGAGAATCACCTCTTGTGGTCACTGGCTGTAGCTTTCGATAGACAACGCACATGTGGGATTACTAGAGCTAGGATAATACCGTTGGAAGAGTTCAGCCAATGCTAGGAGTGCTAATTCTAGTAATCCTATTGCTAAGAACAGCATGTATTGTACTGCAATTTGCCCTGCACGTGCATGTATTAAGTCGGAAACTAGTATGCAGATGCAACCTATATCCGCAGTTATTTAGCCGTTTGCCGTTATTAGGCTAACTTTTGACTTTTTGCAGTACCTAACTCCCTCCTGTCTAATAGGAGAGCAATCTGTTCCATAAACAACTAGCATTGCTATACCCTATAGCTGTTTCAGTAGCTCAGTAATAACATAGAACTCAAATGCCCTCTGCCGGTACACGACTGCATGAGATTGTCAGAGCACGCTCCGATAACATCAGAAGCATATGTCAAACTGTCAAAGCTGCCCAGTTAGTTTGAATGAATTGTTCCCCATCGTCAAATTAGTAATGTTGTCTGAAAATATAGCGCTTTCACAATGAGCTCAATACCTTGGTTGATCCCATCCCTCACCTAGGTGCTTTTTGTTGTTAGCAGGGTGGTGTGTTTACCTCACCAGATCGCCCTCCACAATTTCTGCGTGCGGGGGCATTGTGCGCGATGTCGAAACGAGCGTGATCATTCCCTGTCAAAACTTGCCATTTGTGATTCAACCCCGCAATTCCCTTCAAATGCTTGTTAAGCAGAAATAAAATTCTGATCCATCTTCCCGATTCCAGCTTTAACGGACTGTTTTCTTTCATGTGACTTTTCGCGCCTCCAGATTCGACTGTCGTGGCTATTTACAAGACTTCTCGGAGTACGATGCCGACAATGTCATCAGGCGATCAAACCTCCAAACTGAAGAGGATGCCGCCTTGGAAGAACTCTGCGATTACGAGCGCTATCTTGAGTTGGAGGTGGATGTTCAAGAGGTCGCTATTTTACAGGGTGAGTTGGCACTGCTCTGTATATCTGCGTGGGGCAAACCAGTCTCATGTTAGTTTTGGGCTGGTTGGAGGCCAGTCGTGTTGCAGTTTCCCTTCTTTATAGCCGGCCTTTCGAATTCACCTGTTGGTCCTTCGAACTTGCTTGAACTCGCGCGCAGGGTAAGTACTAACTACCGCCAACTTCTTTCAAAAGTCTTTTTAATTGGTCTGTCAACTCTTCTTCAGCAGGCTCTACTTTCAGGTGCCTCTACGTGATAAAGCTTCATCCTATTTCTGCGTTCCAGGTGCGTGTACCGTGTTCTGAAAAGAAGGGGTTCGAATAGCTGGTGGATTGTGGAAAGTGACATGTAAATACATACTCCTGACTAAACTTTGGACCACTCCCTGTTTCTTTCCTAGTCCGCCGATGGAAAGCTAAACTGTCTTCGTCTTCTTTATAGAAGAGGAGGTGAAACGTGAATGCGAGGCTGTACGAAGTTCCTACGCGGCAGTGAATTTTTCATATGAGGCAAAAGATGCGAGTTCTTCGCGTGAACCTGGTGCTGACGAATCTAAACCGGGTTAGTTGTATTTTTTGTCATTGCCGTTTATTTGGTAGAGGGCATGCTTGGACGATCTCCACAGAAAAATTCAGGAACTGTCTTTATCAAAATACTAGAACGAAGCCAAAAACAGCTAGGGACCTTACAAACAATGTGTCTACTCTCATTATTCTGGCCTACTCTTGTAAATTTTGCAACTTCCATTTGATGTTTTCCATGGTTCGCTCGTTTATTATGAAAATTCCTCCAAACGGGTCTCTGTGCAAGTGCACTAAACCAAAACGAGGAATCAGTCTGAGTCCACGCCCGCCATTATCTACTACCGCGCAGAAGTACGACACGTCTTGGACGCACGGCCTCACAACACGTCAGCCACGGCGCCCAATTTCATCACAGTCGTACAATAGGCTGCTGCATGCAAAACAGAATAGAGTTATGCCGACCCTGGGGAATCCATCCTTACGGCAAATAAGCGCATTACTTATTAGTAAATGTGACGCAATTTACTATGTCGCGGCTTGTCAACTGACGAAATAACCCGGACCGTATTAGGGTGCGAGCATCATCCACCCATAAATCCTTCGTTGTGTGGCCCTTGTCTGATTCTCACATGTGCCGGATCGAATTCTCTTTTACGGTGACCTAAAACAGTAGTCGCCGGCTATTAAGCTGACGGTTAATAAGCTCAGCCGCCTATTAAGCCAAATTTGGTCTGGGCCCGAGGTGAGCTTAATAACCGGCGACTACGGTACTCATGGAGTGGTAACTGGATCGTGTGTTGCACGCGTAAACGGGATATTTAGTTTTGTCGCTATTTCACTAACGTCCTAGTCTTGAGTTCTTGCCATCGGAAGCAGGTGGATGAGGGTTAAGAAGGCGAGGTGGATGCTTCGAAAGTCCCACTGTGTGTGGCAGTAGTAGACTTTCCTTGCGACGGCAACCTGTCGTGTAGTACGAAGTCTAATACGTGCAGCCATTCTACTGGAGTTTTAATGTCATTTTTACTACCTTTTGGAATTAACAGGTGTTTCATCAGATTCGACTAATCCATTAGGCCCATGTGTAAAAAACTCCGTGGCCTAGGAAGGATTTGAACCCACGACAAGAAAGCGAAATTACGTGTGGACAACGCTGTAACCCCCTGAGTGACGAGGCCCCAACTGGAGCCGTGCTTGCCGCCACATTTATGGAATAAACAATGGCAATTGAGTCACAATTAAAGCAGTAAACGATTGTGAGGCCTTTGGTTTGAACCAGTCATTACGGTTTTGCTGCGTCAATTCAAACAATTGCCCTGCAGAATGTAAACGTTAACTACACTTAGCTGGCGAATTTGCTTCGGGTTGTGAAATAGGATGGTGGGCGTTTAGAGCCTCTTTGTTATGGGCCGTTGCTTATAGCCGTCAGTTTCTTATTTTTAGATAATTGCTTGACTTTGCTTCATTAAATATTTTTATAAGTCTTATGACTACTTCAGCCTGGTGGGCGTCACAGTTCTGTTATCAAGTAGTTCAAAGTAACCGGATACTTGATGGTGCAGCACTCGATTATTCTCCCGCACACCATCTTCTAGTTGGCTTTAGTCAGTATCTGTTCTCTGCATCAGTCATCTCTGACAAAGTAAACTAAATCAGGGTCGTCTATTCTGGAGTGAAGACTCCTTGTTCATCGCCCTGCCAAAGTCGGTTGTAACTGCAACACCGTTTTGTGTAATCTGTCCACTAGGGTTTTTCTATATATGTGGTTTGGAAATTAGAACTACTTTTCGCCACTTGGTTTTGTACGACAATGCTAATTAGAATAGTTGGTAGGAGTACCTCGTGGGGCCGCCTGGGGGGTGCCACGAAGCGCGCCCCTCGGTTTTACGGGCTCCTGATCTTAGGGGAGCGGATAGGTGGGGCATGTCAGGGAACAAGTAAGTTCGCAATAATCCTGTAAAATAAAAAAAAGTTACGAGGGTAAGTCGGGGGGGCGTACTCAAACCTCGGACGGGGACACTGAAGTACGCTTTAATATCATCGCTAACCGCCCACCGGGCCAACAGCGAGCACGTTTATGTAGGGGGAGTGTGCCCTGACCTCGGGCGAGGCCACTGAGGTACATTTTCTAGTAGTACCACTAACCCCACCTATAATAAAGGTTTACGAGTGCAGAAGTTGGAAGATTGTGGAATTCACCCTACTTAAAATTTGTAAGTAAGCGGTTATTGCCGTGGTTAATTT